CCTTGCTCTTGAAAAAGTTGTTAGAGATGTAGAGGAGGACCGAGTAATGGAGATTAATGAAAATATGACAATGTTGGCGTATGTGGATGATGTAGTCATATTAGGAAATAGTCGTCAGGAGGTTGCACACACTGTAGAAAAATTAATTGCATCCAGTTGGAAAATGGGACTTATAATTAACGAAGCAAAAACAAAATATATGCTTATGGCACGCCACGCGCCTATTATGAACGATTTAGTGGTCGGGCCATACACCTTTGAACGGGTCGATGACTTCAAATATCTAGGAGTAAACATCAATCATAAAAACGACATGCACAATGAAATCAAACTTAGGATAAATTCGGCGAATCGTGCATATTCCTCACTGAATAAGCTGTTAACTTCGAAAATGTTATCATGGACGACAAAGGAAAAAAATTATTTAGCTTACTTACATCCAATAGTGACAAATGCCTGCGAGACGTGGCCGACAACCCAAGGAGATGAGGAGAAACTCCTTATCGTCGAGAGGAAGGTGCTGAGGAAAATATACGGCCCTGCGAGAAATGAATTAACAGGAGATTATGAAAGGAGAAAAAATACCAACTTAGAATCACTTTATAATAAACTAAATGTTAAATGCTTTCTAAAATCTAAACGTATGGAATGGGCCGGTCATGTATGGCGAGCTGAGGGAAGCATAATTCAAAAAGTACTGAATAATAACCTTACTGGGAAGCGTCCCAGGGGAAGAATTCGCCAACGTTGGCGGGATATATTAAATGCAGACATAAGAATGGTGGACGAAGCAGCAAGTTTCGAGACCGCCAGTGATCGTGACAAGTGGAGAGGTTTAGTAGAAACTGCGAAAGGCCTTAAGGGCCCATAAAGCAAAAAAAAAAAAAATCAATTTTCTTACCTGTTTCAATGTTTGAATTTCGCAAAGTTCGTCGATCTGTTGAATTATATATTTATAAGAACAAATTCAAAAAACTATTCAAATAAACATGGACAATAAATGATTGTCGAAACACTGTATATAACGTACAACAAAATCGTTTCTTCTATCTCGAAGGCTTCCATTCGATGGTGTACTCTGAAGTACTGGTCAGTAAAATGTATTCGATAACGCGTGGGATATATTGAATATGATATTATTATTATATTATAATTGATGTTTTATAGAGACTAATTATATATTATTATAATGAGTATATTATTTTGATAAATTTTTATTTTTCTAAATTATTAACTTTTTAATGCGTTTGATAATGACCAAATGTCAATATAATTTTAATGACAAATGCAATTCTAGCTGTCAGATACTTTTATCTAATAATATAATATCAATTAATATATTTACTTACTGTGGAGGCCAAAGCACAATTGCACGCCAACCGACACACACACACACACAGTCACACATAATTGTCTTTATTTTTGTATTGTATATTTTTTTATTAATTATGTGATTGTGAGTTATTATGTAATATGTGTACTATCGCGATTATTATTATTACACGGCCGCCCTACGCATCATTTCGCGCTCACGCATATTACTATGGTAATTGGTAGTTATTAATCAGTCGCGAAAAAGTCGTCCATACGCAGTGTTGAGTAGTAACGTAACGCAAATTACAAATTACTGTAACGCAATTACTTTTTCAGTAACGCAGCAGTAATTTTATTACATTTTACTTACAATAACGCAATTGTAACGCAATTACTTTTTAAAAGTAATTTCTATGAAGTAACGCACTAATGCGTTATTTTCCACGTTAATTATTAAAATAATAGTTTTGAATGTAATACAAAAATAAGCTAATAAGATATTCCAGAAAAATTAAAAATAAATTTTATTTACTTTTGATTCTGATAATAGTTAACAATATTATTAAACATTCCAGGAATTAATGTTATTACTTTCATTATCAGAAAGAAAAGAGTTTGGTTTAAAAATAAAATTTAATTTAAATGAATTATGATTTACGACGTATGACTTATATAGGTACCTACCTACCTACCGGCTACCTCGATGTTAATACCTTACCAGACTGCAGTGACCATTTCCAATTAATACTATATAAATAGACATATAGTATAAATATTATACTTATTATATTAATACGATTTACGAATACCATAGGTATTAGTGGGTATTACATTACCATTACTTATTAGTTCCAGTCGTTAAGGACTGATTTTGTAATTTAACAATTAACTACCTACATCTCCCAAGTATACGCCGAATTATTGTCGTCGGACCTCGCACGACCCAAAAGTTCTAGTAAATAGATAATAGTAACAGTTCAACAGTTGACTAGATACCTTATTACTTACTACATCGTTTATAAAATAATATTCTAGTGTCTAGTGAATAGTTACTATAAAATATTAGTTTGAGTTTAATTATATTAATTCTAAATTGAAACAGTGAGTGAAATATGATTGAGACTGAAGTATCAGCAAGTGTAGCAAATATCACTGAACTACCATGGCCAACATATAATAAATATTTTGAAGTTACATCTTCAGTAAAAACTTTTTCGTGAAATGAAAATCATGTATCAAATATAAAACATATTCTACTGCCATAAGAAGTAGTTCAAATTTAAAAAAACACATAACAGTACCTAAGTAGAATTCATAATTATTAAAGAATATAGGGGTATACCAAGGGGTCGTAAAATACTGAATATTGTTTTATCTAAGCACTACCTAGTGGCAGTGGCGTAGCCAGGATTTCTACAAGGGGGAGGGGGCAAAAAAAAAATTTAATAAATAACATACAAATAACAGTGTTTTTAATCTTTTAAAAATTTTCAACAATATTTTTATTTTGTCCAGTCCAATATTTGTACCCTTCTTGGAGATCTCTTTATAAAAGCTGGTAAAATGTATTTTTCAATATCATCATAGTCTAAATCATCTTTGTTTATATTAGCTAGAGCTAAGCCATTTAATCTTTCTCCAGTCATAGTAGCTCTTAAATAAGTTTTAAGTCGTTTAAAGACTGAAAATGTACACTCAGGCGTAGCTGAAGTTACAGGCAATGTAGCAAACAATTGTAGACGTTTCTTTACATTTGGCAAGAGCTCTGTACAATGTTGAAGTGCTTCAACAGCAGACCCTGGAAGATTTGTTTCTGATTCTCACTGTTTTTTCCAAATAAATATTCCTGCTTTTAAACATGATATCATGCTAACTGAAAAATCATTTTCATAAACAGAAGCAGCCGCTAAAATAGATGTATCATCATAGTGTCCAAAATTAGTTGGTATTAATCCTTCTAGTGCAGTGGTTCTCAACCGGTGTGCCGCGAGATTGTCTAGGTGTGCCGCGAAAAATGTTATTAAATATTGAAAACAGTGTTTTATTTCGTGACATTTATTTTTAAAAATACAGCAGCATAATAATATTTAAAATAATTTTTAAACTTTAATTTACGTGTACATTTACGTCGTCTACAGCCTACACACGTGCAGTTAAAACTGTACGATTCGATTGAACAGTTTTATCATTTGTACAGATGAAATCATACGAGTGTAGATTAATACGACGTAGTTTTTAGAACTGTACAGTTTTTCGGAAATAAATTGAAATTATCAATTGACCAATTGTGTGCTAATTGTGCAGATAAGACGATACCGGATACATGTATAGGCGCGTGGCGATAACTAATGTCTTCGGCGAATTTATCGAAGTTGTTGTGGTTGTCAAGTGCGTGAGTGTGCCGTTAAAACTTGTGGTGTATAATAGTGTGCCGTGAACTAAAAAAGGTTGAGAACCACTGTTCTAGTGGCATAATTTGTTGAAGTCTTTTATCAAATCTATAGTGTAACCGATTTATCAAGTTATCAAGAAATGGTATGAAAATTGATATTTTATAATACTCTTCAGGGTCCTTAGCATTAACATTAACTCTGTTAGTTTGTCTCCCACATGTTCTAGGCATGGTTATTTCTGCACTTTTAAAGCTAATTCAGTGACACTAATCATTGGCTTGTAAAGGTTATAGAATATTAATTATAATCTTTTCAACGACAGTACGACACAATATATCAACATCACGTCATCACGTTACTAACACCAGCATTACCATGTATAACGTAACCTAATCTATAAATAAGTTGTCTATAAAAAAAATAGTAGTGCAAGTGACACTCTTATCAATCTATGGTGTTTTGATAAACAATAAACATTAATTTTTTTTTTAAATTTAAACTCCAAAACGGTACACAGCCAAAATTTATTTAAAATTATTTACGATTATTTTTTATATATTATAAGATACGACCAATGGGGGGGGCATGGCTCCTGTGCCCCCCCCCAGGCTAAGCCACTGCCTAGTGGCTAATTTTAGGTAAGTACTTGTTTTTGGATATTTTAGATCATTTGACAAAAATATTACTAAAAAGTGTACACAGTTTTTTAATGCATACCAACCTAACCTAGATTATAATTTTCTAATAATATAATTAATATTTATCTTCTAAATTGTATAGATAAAGCATGATTCAAAACTTAAGGAACTTGAAGAGCAACTAAAAAGTGAAAAAACTTTTGGCAAGCGCAAACAAGATGAGACTGATGACAGTTGTAAAACTAAAAAGCAACTAACATTATCTGAATCATTTTCTCGACCACAATATGTTAGCCAAGGTAAATTAAAATCTCAAATTGAATTTGTTTTTATTTTATAGGTAGGTACAACAGCACATTAGCTGTATAAATGTATTTATTTTTTTGAATTTGAATTTATATTATACTTATTGTTAAAGTTTTATAATCCACTATTTACTAAAAAGCATTAAATTAAATAAAAAATGTATATATTATATTATATTAAACTACCATCCAATTATATAACTTACATAATTTGATAGTAGTTAATATTTTCAAAATAGATGGCTAATATTTTGTATGAGAAATAAATTATTAATATATTATATAATATGTAGAAAAAAGGTACATCGTACATCTATAATTTATTTTATATTTCAGAAAAGTTATATTCTATGATCACTGAGTTTGTAGTCCTGGGTAATCACACATTTTCGATTGTCGAAGAAGAAAAATTTAAATACTTAATGAATATGGGTTTTAATAAAAGGAAATGTCTAACAAGAAAAACATTGATGGGTAGAATATCTAATATTTCACAGGAGTTAAAAATAGAACTTAAAGAGCAACTGATGTCTACTGAACTTAAATATGTTTGTGCTACTGCTGATTGTTGGTCTGTCTACAAAAAGTAAGATTTTATTTATGAGATAAAATGTCAATTATTTTTTATTTTTATTTATACTATTATACTTATTAAACACTTATTAATATGAATTATGCTCACA